CATATTGGAGTCTTGCGTACTTAGACTGTGAGGTACATTTCAATAGTATTTCAAGTCGTTAATAACGTAGTTCCGAGTTTTCAGTCCTTTTTTTCTTTCAGGGGATAGTAAGTTGTTGTATTTGCTTGTAATTGTTATTCAGGACATCTATGACTGTCAACAAAATTATGGTTTCCTGCAGTTATGAGATTTGTTCAGACCTGGAAGTTAATTACTCGATTTTGTTAGTGAAACTGCTGGGTCGGGTGAAGTTTCACACACGATGAATGATTTCAACTTTCCCTGACTTGTCTTATTACTTCTGAAAATAAGTTTTTTTATGACTATATTTCAGATGGCATTCGCTCGTCATCACTATGAAGTATCACGAAAGAACTGTATTTATAACGATCGATAAAGACGTCAGAGAGGTTCTAACTTTGAATCTAGCCAATGACGATCAATTGTTTTTAAAGAAGATTTACTTCGGCACAGGAGCTGATGGAGGTAGGTTGTGATGAACTTTGTTACAATCCTATTTCCCTAAGTTACTGTTAATATGCGGCCATATTTTGCAGAGTTATCTTTGCTGATGTTGTTAATACCAAAAAGTTTTAGTCGTCTTTTGAGCAGGAGCGTCCATAGCTTCTTCTGATCACCGGTACTTCCTAGAATTTATCTGTAGCGAAAGTCCTTTCATGTATCATTTTGCACGTTTGATTTTTGATGGACGTCAGTTGAATCTTGATCTAAGAAAGTTCTTCGTTGAAATTTTGCGTAGTTGGTCTGTGGAAAAATCTTTGATCGTCCTTACGACATATAATATTCACACCACTAAACTTGGTTGACTTCACAGAGTATGACACCCATCGTTGCGCCTAAGTGCCAAGAGGGTTCAAATTAGGCCGACCGCGGCTCCATCGTATTTCATCACCTTCATAGTATGGAGGTGTCTCGCAGTTTTATTTTCAGAGAAATGCTTTGCTCTCTGTCAATATGTTTCACAAATAACATCAAGAAGTGCGCTGTATTGCCGGGAGTATTCTTACATTCATAATTTTGCCCAGCTGAATTACACAATTTCTAGAAGTCTAGAGGTCCGTTAGACCGTGTTCCGTCGAGCTTATGTTTCTACGTTGCTGCGAAGGCATGTAAGAACTGCAGTATCTGAATGACCGTTTGTAGCAAGGAACGTATCACGTTAGTCAGTGAAGCCGATCGAAGCTCATTAATGCACTGCATGTGCCAGAATACCACAGAATACTGTCAGCTTCCCAAGGCAGTGGTGCAACATTACTCTGTAAACTGGCTAGTTTTCGTTTGAATACAGACCATTATAATTAAGTTCAAGTCAAATTTTTGATAGATCCACTTTCAAGTTTTATGATGCTTTGGCGGGATGATCAGAGTACCAATGTAATGTTGGGGGAGGGAGGGAGATAAAAACTTGACTAGCAGCAGATGTTGGCGCGTCAAGATTCAGGAAGGAATAATGACCGGAGTAACAACTTTTATTTATTTTATCTCAACTTGATTTGTCGAACCCATGTTCACTGTAGCTGCCCATGATATATACCGTTTAATTTACTCCGACTTTCATTTAACTGCAGGCTGATCAGTTTGGCCAGTATAAACGCCTCCAACTTATTTAATTCTTCTGTTGCTAAAGAAGAATGGTATTTATGCGAAAATGGTATTTATGCCTATTTCCATTTTGGCGTTTATGCTGTTTTCAGGCACAGAATATCAGGTTCCTCTCTTCATAATTTGAACCGCGTGACATTTTATTCCCTGCCATGTCTTCCTGTCTTCGTGTATAAATGATATTGTTTCGTTCATCGTTCAGTTTCATTATCCAGTACTGTTTTAGACATTCTATTGATCTCAGTCCCCTAGTCAAAACTTGTGTCACTTTTTCTCGTACAGTCACTATTCATTCTCATGACGTAGCCAAAAATATCGTAATTTCCCTTAACGACGCTGAGTGTTAAGTTGCTTTAAGACTCATTCATTGGTTTTCAGACCAGTCTAGGAAATAGATCACGCTCTATTGGATTGGCTTTCAGCATCTGTGATGGTTTAGCGTTTTCATCCTTAGCATACAGCCGAGTGCGAGACTACAAAGTCTCAGAATTGTTAAATTTCTGTTCCTGTGACTTTTCATTATTCTTGGGAGTTTTATCATCAAACTTTTGTGTCATTGTCCTTGTTGCCATTGTCTTCTAAGGCTAGCAGAGTACCTCATCTTTATGTCTGATCGTTAGATATGGAAATTATATTATTATGCAACGTTAACTTCTGCGACAGTAGTCATATTTCTAGTAGTGAACAGGTCTGCTTAAATTAGGCGTTTCCAGGTTTTGTATTGTCTGCCAGTGCGTCTGCTGCAGGGGTCGGTTCCCATGACGAAAGTTTTGACAAACCTTTTCTGGGATGTTTTTATCAGAGCACGCAAAAGCACTATCTCTCAGTTCTGCTGATAGGTTTCTCAGACCGCTGTTCATCAGTGTTTATTCGTTCCGGGCCGAGGGTGCCATCGTACTTTGTAGATACGTCGTAGTCGCGGTAGTTGGAAGTGAACTGTTCTATTTGAAGAACTTCTTGGCATTTCGGGACAAATTTTTTACAGACATTTTGAGTGTAAACACGCAAACCGCTTATACGACTGTTTCCTAGTTGGTGATCTTCTTAGACGCTCAGATGGTTTTATCTTTCTGTGCTTCATAAAGCTTGCTGAAATTTGCTTATGCCAGTCCAGTGCGCCGGTTCACTTCAGGATCATTGCGGCAATCATAAACCAGAATTGTTCCAAAGTACTTGAAATGGTCCGCTTCTTTTCGCAATATCATTTCAGGGTGTTCTTGGGCTGAGGATTGCTGCCGGTGCTCTCATATTCTTGGCATTCTTCGCGCGAACTTGTTGCTCTACTTTCGCAGCCATAAACATAGGCATAAATGGCGAAAGTAGAAGTTAAATTTCGGCCCCTTGTTGATGACGTAACGCATATGATTGGATTATGTTAACCTGTTTTTAACGACTGCAGCAAAATGCTTCACATAATTTACTCGGGCAATCAGAGTATAGATTAGATTAGTTCTTTTTCTGGCAACGTTGATAAGGATGTGTGTTCCGCGTGTTTCAAGGATTGAAAACGCGTTTCACATACTTGCGCAGATTCAGGATGGATCCACGTGAGTTGAACCATTATATCAGTTTTTACGTGCCGCTCCCATATTTTTCGAGGTCTTCATAGTTTCTGACAACTGCAACAATGGTACTATAACCCGCGTAATTTCAAAAAAGATTCGCGATGGTTCAAGTCTTAAGTCTTCGATGTACAGGGTGAAAATTGACGTTAAATTTCGCTAAAGTGACACGAAGAGCATGCTTTTATTACTCCCTTCTTTTCTTCCTATGATATTTAGGAGTTCGGTATTAAAGTTCAAAGTTTAAGCAGTAAATCTAGCGGATTACAGCTTCTAATGTTTTGTGTTTTTACTTTTGTTGCTGATCGTGATGTTATCGATATGGCGTTGGAAATGACATCCTACCGCTGTCGAAGTCTACCGATAGCTAGGATGATGGCGGAACGGCATCCCCGCACTGACGAAGCCATGCGTGGCACAAGCGTCTAAGCCATTGTTACTGGCAACTGATTTGCATTATTATTGATGTAAATACTCTGTACATAATATGCACATATACAGTTCGGACTTGGCACGTTGGGCGAAATGGTCTTTTTGCAGGAGGGCCAGTTACCACGCGGGGCCTGTCATGATCGACACCAGCATGGCCATTGTGTCACTGGTATAATGGAAAGAAACCAAGGTGTGTATGAAGCTTCGCGACGACTGTCATGATTACCATTCCAGTAGAACTTCCGTTATCTTCAAGATACTGATGTCCTTAACCTGGTAGGTGGGTGTCTGGTAGCCAAAGTATGGGTGTTATGTATCTGGCTGCCGTTTGGCTGACGTTGTCCAACGTGCTATCTCGGTCCCACATGTTCCAGCATGAGACGGAGCTTCTTGCTACATATGTTACGTTTTTGCCATTTTCTTCGAATTCTTGGTTGTTAAAATTGAACTTTCCCATGAATTTAACCCTGTCAGCGATCGCAGTAAACTAGGTGCGACCGATGACGATCACGAACCCTTGTTTGGTTTGATTAAACACCCTATACAGATAATGGAAATGTGTTCAAAACTGTATATATCTGTGTTGGCACCTGGTGTTCCTCGCATTGTGTCTCTTACGTAGTGGCACATAAGGGTTATTCGTTTGCAAATTACTTGTTGCCAATTTAGCGATGCAGGAACGAGGAACAACGCCCTTGGTCAGAGTTCGTTCAGCCCAGTATGAGTCACTTTTCTCTGTTTGAAGCAAGTATTGCTAGATGCGGTTTATTGCTTTTTTTAAAAATTTTCTCTGTCTGTCTGGATAGATGTTAGAGATTTTCAATTATTCTGCGGCACTCATTGGACTTTACTAACCGTTTCTTCTGGTTTAAGACCAAGCCCATATTTAGTCATAAGCGTAGGATTATCTGCTCCACTATTTCTTTGAGTCAGCCGTTTTCTTTGTTGCATCTAATATGAACGTTTGTAGACTAGTCTGTTTTATTTATGATCGAGGTTTGCGGAGCTGTTCCGTTCCACGCGATATTCCTTGTATTTTTGATATTATTCCAGAGAAGGCCAAATAAAAAATAATTTATGTCGTCAAAAATATAATAAATCTGCATTGAGTGATGAACCATTTAGCAAAATCAGAAAATTCAGAAAGATTTATTCTCGCAGCACACTCCCAACAAAGAAAAGTTCCTTGCATAAATGAATAATTTTGAAACAAAAATGATTGTAGTCAACTTTAGAAACCAAAATGGTTGAAATCGACTTGTAATTGGTCAACTTATAAAGTAAATAAGGTCAATAGATTGAGGCACAATCTAGAATTTTTATGGTAAAGTGATTTCGCCACATAAATGATGAATGTTGAGAGATTGTCAGCTTACAGAGCTGTCCTTGAACTAATCTACCGTCGTTTAGTTTGGTTCGTTTTGCGTGCCACTACACAGTGGAATTTTTTTTTATCAGAATTGGTTTTGTCAAACCTGTGTAACCAAAGATGAAGATATAATTTTAGCCGATAAAAGTATATCTGTTATCTGTGCAAGATGATTTTTTGAAGAAATTCACGAAATGAACATTTATTGCCACGTTTTACTTCAGGAACTAGCGGCGTTGGTTTTTCCGGTTGTATGAAGCAAATATACGTTGGGCACCGGAACGTACTACTTTTGTCGAAGAGTCCATACTTGACTAGTAGGTTCCCGCTCACGTACGGCTGTCAGACATCCACGAATGAAATTGACGAAAAAGCACGCCAACCAACTACGTGCAAAGAGACGTTCTGTCAACATCGAACGACCTGCATTGAGGACAGTGGTACTCAATGCGATTGTGGAGATACCAAATACATGGGACGGTATTGCCAGTTTTGTAAGTAACTTTATACACTCTTCAACATCTTGACGATTCTTCTCGTATATAGCTTCTCTCTATCGGTCGTGCCAAGAGTTGCTGGATATGGGCGAGACAATTTCTGGAGTGTACCTGATCGACCCAGATGGAAGCGGTTCGGCGAATGCATCTTATGTGTTCTGTGAAATGGACCTGAAGAACGGCCTTGGCACTACGGTCGTGGAGCACAATGTTCCGGATGCAGTGACCATTCGAGGCCAAAACGAATTCTTTGACGCCGTCTACGAGATCCGTTACAGGTGTGAAAAATGAAATGTCGTTTTGCAATAAAATGGTACAGCTACCTTATTGCTGTTCGAGTGATTTAGGTTTTTCACTGCTGAGTCACTTCGGCACCTAATACGGCTGTCAGCGGAGTGCCGGCAGTACATTAGATATGATTGCAAGCAGGCTCCGCTTGGGTATATGCTATACTAATCACAGAAAGAGTTTAATCTTCGAGCAAGAATTTTCCAGATTTACCAATAAGACATGGTTCAGGTCAGCAGTGCACGAACAAAATTTTGGTCAAATTGGCAAAGTTCCAGGATTGTGTCAATGCTACTCTGATGTTTCTTGCATATACGGTATGTCAGTTGATTTTCATTGGTAATACAAACCATGAATTTTGGATTTGATGGAAAAACTATTTTTCTTCATTTGACAATGAAAGGTACTTGATAACCATGAGCTTGAATATGTTATAAACTTAATTCTTCTTTCGTGACTGTCACCGGTCACAGTTTTCCAAAGGTTCTTTGTAACCTTCTTTGCCATTTCATTTTTTGTGGAATCACTAGATCGATCGCCTTGTGCTCTTCTGTTTGATCATTATTTTGGGCCGTTTGCAATTGTAGGGCGTTTCCCGATTGTTGACTGGTATTTTCTGCTTTTAAGTATATGTACTGTAGCGTATCAACTGCATCGTCTTAGATAACATTTCCGATCGCAGATCGACCTTCATCTTCTTCATCCATTTGCATGCTGACCTACTTGCCTACTCGACTTTTCTTGTTTTTTGTTTCGCGAAAGTGTTCGCGGACTACGAAGGATATATGCACAAGCAGTTTGGCCAACGGGACTGACCGCTTCCTTATCTTCAGCTTTGCCAGTACTCTGGAGATATTAGAGTCATTTCGTTATGCTGTGCTCTTATTTGATATTCCATCTATACTGAAGCCTTCGCTATTGCTGTTGAACTGTTGTGATTGCTCATTGGTTAGAACAACAGAACAACTGTTTGTCTTTCATAACAACACTGACCTGGGTGAAGCATTTTACAAGCGGGATTTTGCCAAAAGAAATATTCCTGTACAGTCCAAAAGTTTTGACTTGCTGCTGCAAATGTTGAAAGCAAGATAGTTCGAGAGTTTCTAATTGGCTGGTGCCGTAGTTAGAAATGATGCAAGCGGTGTATTAAAACTGCCCTACCTATGTCGGACTGCCTGAAACTTTAAATTGTTAAGCAATTAATTAATCATTACTCCAAAGTATTCCCCAGCCTGATCAGTATTGAAAGATTAATATCTGAATAATGCCCATCGATTAGCCATACTGAACCACTGACTGTTGTAAAATAGACCTTTGACTGGCGACGAAGTATGGCACAACTACCACCCTTAATGCGATCGAATGTGAATTTTGATGGAAGAAACCGAGCGGAAATTATCTTTCAGTTTTCACCTGTGATCGCTTTACGTCTAAGTGACTATTTGATCTACTTCGTCGTTAAAATCTGGACCGGAGAAATAACAGTATTATGTTAAATTTTTGGCAGTTCGTGGTCATGCTTGCTAACATGCTGAACGAAATACGAGCTATCTGATAGGCAATAGTAGGAGATCTCAACACAAATGGATTCATATCGGACGTCCGTAGCATGGATTGTAAATTGCGGGGTGAATAATAAATGCAGTAATTTATTTTTCTTTCATTCCTGCTCGTATTTTATATATGCTTAAATGCAAATTCTTGTTCAGGCAGTGAACTTTCAACTCATTTACGTATGCACATTCATGTTTTAGATTTACCACTTTAAATTGATATGTTATAATTAATTGAAAGTGAAATGAGCAGGGCGTTATGACTGAGGTACGTGAATTGTTGGTTTTCGTAGTTTAGGAATTACTCACGGCACCGGTTTAAAGTGTAGTGCGATTTAGGTTTACCATTATCTTTTCAAAGGTACCGTTCAGTGTCTAAATACATGTTTGTTGCTTTCCTATTTGCAATGTGAATGATTTTATATATTATTCTGATAGTGGAGCAGTTTTGTTTCAGATTTTCAAACTTGTAACTGTGATGGCAACGTCTCGCAACAAACATTTGATGAAGGCTACCTGTATGGCGTTTATTCCGGCTTGACTGAAGTCACCGTTCTCCAGAACAGTTCTGACGTTGAGGCGAACCTCACCCTTGGCCCTCTCCTATGCACCGGATCTCGTAACTCTTTCATTCGAACTACCCCGGTTTTTTAGAACTAATTCTAATTTGTTGTTGAGCAGATGGTCATGACGATGTCATCCAGTTTAAGCGTCGCGGTGCGGTACTCGAAGAAACGGCGTGGCTGGGTCGATCAATGAGCTTCTGGTTTCGAACAAACATTCCGGAAACGACTATAATCAGCCAACAGTCGTCGGACGATCGATACTTGGAAATCGGAATTTCTGAAGGTAACCGTGAGGCTGATTTGTGCAGTCTGATACGATGCTACTCTTGTGTGAGAACCCTAACAACTTGATTGCAAATTTTTTCACATGTGCAGTCATACATGGTTATAGAAGTACCTTTTGGATGAGCCTTAGTTTTATTTATATCCTGTAAGTGCACTTCCATCTTTTGCTACGAGCTTTTTCATACATTGTGAAAATTTGATTATCATTTAAAACAAATACCAGTTCTAACCCGTGATCCTCTGATCAGAATATGGTCAAAATATTTTTGTCATAGGCAGACTAGCTTTAGATAATCCATGTTCACTGATCCTGCCACAGAAAATGAGCAGTAAGCAAACTGCCGAATTGCTTCATGAGTGATATACTGCGGAATATGTATTTCTGAGTTTTCGACGGCAGCTGTAGAGCCCTGCCTTGAAATCTGAAACAGTCGGCTTACGAAGCTGTGGTATCCGGGGGTAACAGATCTTGTAATGCCATTTAAGGTAATTTTATTCAGAAGATAACTACTGTAGCTACAATCATGGATAAACGGAAAATAATTATTCGCAGGCAAGGCGAGCTCGAGGTTTGGTCTGTGCATACCGAAAACCATTAAGACATGGGATAACATCCTTTCTCTGCTTGAATTGTTATAATATAGGAACACAAGAACAAAAATGAAGCTTTAACTTGTGCGCTAACGTCGTTATTCCTCAGAACCGAAAAGGAAATTCTTTAGTTGCAGTTGTCCAACAGATTGAAGTTAAAACTTCGAGTATGCCCATTTTATCGTCATTTAGGCTCTGCTTCAAGGGCTACACTGCTAAAGCCTATAATGACCGCAAGGCGACTGGCAAATTGATATAATTTTACTCATGTTTGATTGCTTCCATGATGGAAATACTCCTATGCTACAGGTGACCCGACGAATGTATTTTTACGTTTCATTTCTTAGCTGTACAGTAGCATTTGAATGACCGAGAATACCAAGATTTTAACTTTCATCACTAGATGATGCTCAGATGACTGCAAGGGTGTGTTGCATTAGGTCATCGCACAACATCGCTGCGGAACAAAGTCCATGAGAGTAGCAATACCTTACAATCAAGCATCTTCATCTTTTATGACCACTTCTCCTTTCGGGTCGCAGAGGTAGACGCGTCAGACAGTGCTTCCAACTTTTCCGATCCTGTGCCTGAGTCTGAGACTTGGCAGAAGACAACCCGAATCTACAACAGATTCCTTTCATAAATTTGCACCAGGTTAATTTTAACGGGCCCCTGGACTTTCTGCCGCTCGACTAGGCAAGTAGTAGTTTCTTCGCCTTCCTTCCTGGAGGCATTCGCAACATATGCCAAAACCATCGCCGCTGTGACTTCTCATTCTGAAGAAGCGGCTGTAGACCAACGCTCTACATCTTTACCTGTTCCACTGCTTCTGCGTTTATCTGAAGAGAGCAACGGACAGGAGAACGAGAAAGCACTCGGATTTTCGTTTTAAAAACGTTCACAGTGTGACGGTCACTTCTCCATTTTGGCCGTAGATCAGTTACAGAAAATGCCAACAAAACAAGGTCGTCTGCAACCAGGAACCTTCTTGTCTCTAAATCTTCTAAACTAATATATTCATCACCCTGGCTGCGCCTGACTATTCTAGCCTTATCCGTACACAGCACAAACAGGAGAAGGGACAGAATGCAACCTTGGCAAGGACCAGTGCCAACGCTCAAAGGTTTTGACTTAACGCCATTTACGCTGACGTAGCACCTGTTATCAACATATTGTGACTGGATTGCATTTATTAACTGACCATCGATCCCCTATCTTAGCAGGCATTCCCTAGACTGTTGCGCGAGATCCGGTCATAGACTTTCTCTAGGTCAACAACGCACATTCACACTGGATGGACGAACTCCCACCACTTTTCAACAATCTCATGGGCGAATATCTGGTCAAATGTGCTTCGCCGAGCCGGAACTGCTCTTCTTGTATCTTGGAGTCAGTTA